TTTTTTTTTTTTTCTTTTTTTTTGGTCTTTTTGAGACAGGGTCTCTCTGTAGCCCCAGCTGTCCTGTAACTTACTATCTAGACCAGGCTAGCCTTGAACTCACAGAGATCCCCCTGCCTCTGCCTCCTGAGTGCTGGAATTAAAGGCGTGGACCACCACGCCGGGCCTGTAGTGCTCTTTATGCATGAGAAAACTGAAGCTTCTACAGGGAAATGAACTTTCAGTCAAGATCTTCAGCCAAGATCTAAACCCAGGACCAACTTCCAATCTTATTTGCTGTTTACTGCACCACACTGCCTCAAAACAAAGGTCAGCAGTGGTTAGACACAGGCTGGAGACTGCCTAACTCAATTTCCAGCTCTGCCACTTGCTAAGCTGTGTGTTGTTAAGTTAGTTACTTCTCTGCACCTCATCATATATGCTTTCATAATGAGAAAACACATGTTGTAGGGTACTTAAAATTAAAGGTAAGGTGCTTAGAGTAGTAGTTTCTGACAGTAGGTACTATATCACTTGATGATTGATAAATATTTGCTAGCCAATTTACCAACTTCAACCTAAAGACAGGCCAACTGTGTCACATTTCAGATCAGGAATGGACCCAAGCCCAGAGGCTTACCTGCCCTGGTCCTAGGGGCACATCTTCTCAAGTCCCTGCTCCCCCCTTGCCTTAGTGATACAGGCCCCTTTGCACTCACAAAACGAAGAAAATCTTCTCGTTGATGCCGGAAATGACAGATGTGATTGACAGAGAGAGGATGCAAGCTCCAAAGAAGACATGCACAGGTTTCAAGAGGCTTCGCAGCCACTGGGACGCCCAGGGCAAGAGGAAGATGGAAAAGCCCAGGAACCACTGTGGACACAAGCACGTGGGAAGAAGTTCTGGAGCAACCGTGCATAACCACAGGTGCCCCAAGTCATCCACCACCCCGATGGTCCCTGCTGGCCCTCATCCCCTAGCCTTCTTTTCCTAACTCAAACACTCCCAACCATGCATAGCCTTCACTACACACACCTAACTGCAGTCTGCTCATTTCTATTACACAAGCAACTAGGCTGGTGTGTGAAAGGCTTACTGCGATGTGCTCACCAAGCAAACCCAGCCATCTTCTTCAGCCTCAGCCTCTTCCCAGTCCTGGCTCATAAATAACTTGAGCCAGGACTCATGTTGGAATAATAAAATTAGTTCTAGAATGGCTTTCAGTTCAAAAAGATGGAATGGAGAAAGCAGAAAAGAGGGTAGATCAGAGTCAGCATGGTGTATGGGATGGTAAAGTCAGCCCAGAGGACTCTGGGACAATAGGCTGTGCAACAGCTATAAGGAACAGGCCTAGAATTGAAACCCCAACTCCCCACAGCCATTCAAGCAGCTAAGTCTATATGTGCAGTATGTGAGACCCTCCAGGTAAAGGGCAGAGGAAATATTTGGAGCTGAGGTCAATGAAACCATCCCTAGAGCCCATGGTGCTAGACCTGGCTATGGGAACCCAGGAGGAGAGGGTAGAGGCACCTACCTGGCAGGCAAAGAGGATGACAGTGGTGATGCCCAGCCAGCTATGCAGGGAATAGAGGTGTGCAATTTTTGAATGGTTGTGATACTGAAAGACAGCAACCAGCCCCACAACAGTGAAGATGAAGGCCAGCAGGTGCAAGGCTGCATGGAGGAGTTTCCAGGGCAGCTTGGGTCCCACCCATGACAAGGGCAGGCGGTACACCAGCGAGGCTGCAGAAGAGAACAGTCCCAGGGTTTGGCCACATCCCCTTGCACTTCCCGTACTCCCTGGTGAGACCCCACACAGCCTCCCAATCAGAAGAGAAGTGCTGGGGCATCCCATTATTTGTGGGAGACAGCAGGAAGGGAGGCTGGAAGGGCCAGTTAAAGAGGAAGGAGCAGTTTCCCGAACTTGACATTCTGTCCTCACAATCCTGAATGCAGTGTGAATGCAGCTGAGGTGTTTTCTCTTCATGGTTTCATCACACTGAATTCTCACAGCCAAGGCTATGAGAACCCAGGCCTGGAAGCTGAGGATAGAGCTCAGCACATGCCTAGCATGCCCAAGGCCCTGGGCTCAGTTCCATCTCCAGCACCAAAAGTGAAAAGTAAATAATGAAGAGCTCAGGAAGAGAGGTCAGTGAACACAAGTCCAAATCTAGGTTCTGTATCTTAAGTCTGGCCTCTTCTGTTTCCTCATCTGTAAAATGGGGATAGCAACAGAGCCCATCTCACAGGCTTATTGTAAGAACAGAATTAAGAATAAACATGGTGGCACATACCTGTAGTCCCAACACTCAGGAGGCTAAAGCAGGAGGACTGCTAAATAGTGAGTTCAAAGCCACCGTGGGCTACATAGGCAAGACCCTATCTCAAACAAACAAACAAACAAAACAAAACAAATAGGATAGAAAAGAAGGAAAAAGGTAGGGAGATGAGTGTTCAATCCCCAGAAACCACATAATAAAGCTGGGTGTGATGACACACACCTGTAATCCCATCACTGGGGAAGTAGACAGGAGGATTCCTGGGGCTTGCTGGCTAGCCAGCCTACCCTCATCAGTGAGCCCCAGGCCAGTGAGAGACCCTGTCTCAAAAAAACAAAAAAAAAGGTTTGGGGCTGGGGTAGGAAGCTGAAGAGATGGCTCAGAGGTTACCAGCACATCCTATTCTTATAGAGGACCTGAGTTCAGTTACCAGCACCTACATCAGGTGCTGACAGCCACCTATAACTCTAACTCTAGGGGATCTAAAGCCTCTGAGGGCAGCATCACATATACAGACACTCATAATTAAAAATTATAATAAAAATTTGTCTTTTTGAGACAGGGTCTCCCTGGAGTCACAGCTGGCCTGGAACAAGCTATGTAGACCAGGCTGGCCTCAAACTCAGAGATCCACCTGCCTCTGCCTCCCAAGTGCTGGGACTAAAGGCATATACCACCACACCTGGCAAAAATAATTCTTTTAAAAGTGGGGCTGGCAAGAGGATTCAGTAGGTAAAAGCACTGGCCATATAAGCCTGTTGACCTCACTTTGATTCCTGAAAATGATGGGGGAAAGAGAGAACCGACTTGACTCCAGAAAGTTGTCCTGACTTCCACACAGGCATCATGCCACACTCATGTGCGACTGTGTACACACACACACACTACACTCTAATAATCAAATAGGATTTTTTTTTAAAGGTGGAAGGAGTATAAGGATGAACAACATGTCCTGGTCTCCACACTCACATACATACGTGTACATACATACACACACATGCACACGCGTGCACACACACACACTTTAATAATAAAATAGGATTTTTTGGGGGGGGGTCTTTTTGAGACAGGGTCTCCCTGTAGCCCCAGCTGTCCTGGATTCACCATGGAGACCAGGCTGGCCTCAAACTCACATAGATCCACCTGCCTCTGCCTCCTGAGTACTGGGATTAAAGATGTGCACCACCACGCCAAGCCAAAATATGATTTTTTTTTTTAAAGGTGGAAGGAATGTAAGGATGAACAATATGTCCTGGTTTCCACACTCATGTACATACATGTGAACATACATACACAGACACACATGCACACGCATACACACTCTAATAATAAACATGCACGCTCTAATAATAAAATAGGATTTTATTATTATTATATTTATTATTATTATTCCTATTAAATAGGAAGGAGTATAAGGTTGAGCAACATGTCCTGGTCTCCACACTCATGCACATATGTGTGTACATACATACACACACACAGACACACAAAGAAAACAAAAGGTGCATGTGAAGTACACATGGTTAAGCTGCTCCTGTCAATGCTACCATTAGTCCCATTCTACAACTGGTAAAATGAGGTTCACTTCCAGGTTATAGGACACAGATTTGAATGCATGGGGCAAGGATGGTTCCTGGACAACTATTCTATAAGTGGCTTCAACTTCCTATTCTTCAGTGCAGGGGTCAGCAAACTTAAGTGTTGTGAATGAAGTTTTATTGGAACACAGCCATGCTCATGTGTGTTTCCTGTGGCTGCTCTCATACAACAGCAGAGCTGTGCAGTTGTAACATAGATTGTGACCATATGGCTTACAGTCCTACTTACAGTCTGGTCCTTTACAGAAGTATGCTGACCCTGTCTCCAAGTATCTGTAGAGCTGCTCCTCTGAGCTGTCTCTACACATTCCACTTCTCCCCGCAAATGACAGTTGGTCTCAGAGACAGCTCAATTCAACTGACTCTGGCAGCCCTAAACGCAACCCTGACAAAGATAAGCCTCAGTAAGGGAAAGTACTGTCCCACCCAGGCCCAAGCCGTAACGCGCCTCCCACAGTGATGACATATTACTCACCAGCTCCATAGAGCACCACCATGCCAGAAACCATGAACACAGGGTGCCAGTTGAACATGTATACACTGCCATCCCAGGCAAAGCCACCGCGCCAGTACTGCATCCAATAGGTGGTGAAGAGGATGCACATGGAGCCCAGGGAGCCCAGCACCAGGCAGGACAGGTAGAACCATCCTGAAGCCATCCTGATCAAGACTCCTAGAAGAAGCAGAAGTCACATGTCCCAGCTGACCATGGTGCACCCCAAACACCAGCTACAGGAAATAACACTAACTTCTCCCTCTGTCCGTGGCGTGGGATCTTTTTGCTTCAGTTCCCATCTCCTATAAGGCTACGATGCCAAGATAGGCTAGAAATGAGTAGGGCCCCATCCCTGCACCTGACAGGGCACACAGCAGGAATGTGGCAAGATGACAAAGTGGGCTTGGAGCTGTGGCACTGACTAATCTTCCCACACAAAACCAGAAGACAAAGAAGGATCCCCACACCAAACCCATAGGAAATGGGTGTCAAAATCCAGGCTACAGTACTCAGGAGGCAGAGGCAGGTAGATCTCTGTGAGTTCAGGATCAGCCTGGTCTACATAGTGAGTTCCAAGCCAACCAGATCTACACAGTGAGGCCTTGTCTCAAAAGGAAGATAATTCAGACCAAATCACAAATGCTCAAGCCCTGGAATCCAATATAAGAAGGCAAAACTATAATCTGAAAAGGGGTAAACACATTCTAGGTTAGGTAACCCTTGAACAAAATGCTTGGTTGTAGAAGAGTTTTGGACTAAAAAGGCTTTTGGATTTTGAAATATCTGCTTACTGCATATACTGAATCATTAATGTAGTGATCAAAAAGTTTCTGGTTTCAACAAGAAAGATCCTGCTTAAGCAAGGGGAGGTTAAGAAGAGACCCCCAAAAGTTGTCCTCTGACTTCCAAACGTTATATTGTGGCATATATGTGCTCACACACACAAACACACACACCACACAAAATAAAAAGGAAGTAATTTTTTTAAGTATTTTGGACGTCACAGCATTCTGGAGATGCTCAAGCAGTATCGTTAGGTCACCTGGGAGAGAAGTTCTCTGGGCTCCCATTTCTATAAAACAGTTCCTTCTCCCAGAGGATTAACTCCATGGGGCCTTGCCCACTGAGGAGGAGAGAGCAGACCTTAACCCCTGAACTCCCTACTCCCCTTGAACTAAGAGACAGCTCTTGGCTCTCTCTAGACTTGAGACCTACTTCTGCTTTCCCTTCACTAGGGAAAGTCCAGAGAAAAGAAGAACTCATGGTCTAGAAAGCAAGAGACTTATTTTTAGATTTCCACCTGTACTTAACAAATGCCATAACCACCTCTGCTTTCAGGTTTTCTCTGGTGAATGCTTATGTCTATAAGCAGCTGCTCTTAAAACTAGGCAAGGGGCTATATTTGTAGCTCAGTGACTGGCGCTTGCTTAGGATGGTTAAATGATGGGTTACATTCCCCAGTACACACATATGCTTAAAAAAAAGGCCAGGCAAATGGACAAAGACAAAGGGGCCAGTCCTGCTTCCAGCAAATCTGTGGGTGACATGGCCTAACAGGCTCACATCAGAAAGGTAAGAAGGTGGCTTTCTACTACTGTAGACTATCCTCTGGATCATCTCATAGAAAGAATAGCCAGTAATGCACAAGGAAGGACAATACCCAATTCCTCACCTTTAGACCCAGTAGAAGACTCTCATAGGAGGGCAGCCTGGGGCTCCAATTGTCACAAACTAGGTACCTTGAAGAAAACACTTAACACTGAAGGACTTGTTTCTGAAAGAAAGACATGGCAGTGAGAAGAAAAATTAACTGAACTCTAGCTACAAGCACTGGAACCCTCCATGTGGTCCCAATCTTAATGACTCTGTAAGGAGTATTGCCCCGTTCCTATACAGGAGGAAACTAAAGCTCAGAGCTGTTAGCATTAGGATCCAACACACCAACAGGAGTTTCAAACCCTTGTCTGTTTGCTGTAAGGCCTCAGGCCTTTTTCCTTGGCCACAGGTTATGAGATCAAGTGAAAAAAAAGTATCCAAGAACAGTGCCAGAGTCTAGTATTCTAACTTCTTATTTATTACTGTCACAGGAGTTTTCTCCCAACCACTAACAAAAACCTGAAGCGAGCTAGGCATGTGCCTATACTTCTAGTTGCCTGAGAAGCTGAACTGGGAGGATCATTTGCACACAGGAGTTCAAGGCCTGCCTAAGCAACACAGTGAGGTCAGCTTCAAAAAATAAACTACGACCTGAAGCTCATGGTCTCCATGCCTACCCAGGCCTCTCAGTAGCTCTGATTACATGTTGTGTTTGCCTAACAGCCTAGACCTCAGTGAAAGGCTAAGAGAGCAGGCTCCAGTTTGCCTAACAGCCTAGACCTCCAGTGAAAGGCTGAGAGAGCAGGCTCCAGTCAGTCATCTGACCATATCTACTTCCACAGCTGCTGCTTCTTTTATAAAAAGAAAGAAAAGTGGTCCCTTTGGCCACTGTCCATTCCCACCTATCAAGAGTATGTCCCACCCAGTGGTCTCTTTGAACACTGTCCCCTCTCCTCCTCACCCCTGAAGGGTGCCCCCACTTTACCTTGTAATTACCTCCACATGTCTTCTACACTGAAAATAAAAAATGGTGAGAGAGAGAGAGAGAGAGAGAGAGAGAGAGAGAGAGAGAGAGAGAATATGCCTATAATCCAGAGGTGGAAGCAGGAGAATCAGAAGTTCAACATCACCTTCAACTACAAAATGAGTTGAGGCTAGCCAGGACTACATGAGACCCTGCCTCAAAAGGGGGGTGGCTTTGCAGTTAAGAGCAGTATGAGCTCAAGTTCAATTCCCAGAACTCATGCCTGGCATCTCACAGGGCCAGCTCTAAAGGATTCTATGTCCTCTTCTGGCCTCCACAGACACCTGTACACACAGCATTCATTAACACACACACATACTCATAATACTAATTAATAGTAACCCCTACAAGCCCTGGGTTACTGCTCTGTGATAGACTTAGAACAGATAATGGGGATTTTTGTGGCAGAAAGCAAGCTAAACTCCTATCTATAGTTCATAGATAAGCACTCCCTTCCTGAAACAAGAGCAAAAGAAGGCAAAGAACACAGCAAAAATCACACACAAATACTCAGACAACACCCTCATTTGTACTAAGAGAGCAGTTTGGACATGCTCATTACAGCTCAGTTTCCTGTCCTCACTCTGCCAAGTCACATTCTAAGGCAAGGGCCAGAAAACTCTGCAGGCTTTAAGAAACATCCAGTCTCTGTCTCAACTATGACATTCATTCTGTGCTGATGTAACACAAGAACAGCCGTAGACAGTATCTTAACAAATAAGCTTGACTGTGTGTCCCAGTAACACTTTGTTTACGGACAGACACTAACAACTAAGTTTCATATGATTTTCACATTTTATGGACTATTATAAATTTTTCAATAGCCTAAACATGTAAAAACCATTCAGGGTCAAGTGTGACCTGTGGGGTATAATTTATCTACCCTAAACTAGCCAAGTCTACTTTCTACCCTCAATGAAATGCTTTCCTTGATTCCTTGGCCAGAGGATTCTCATAACCTGAGCAAAACCAGAATCAAGGGGCAGGGATAAGAAATCAATCTTCTGGGGCTGGAGAGATGGCCCAGCGGTTAAGAACACTGGTTTTTCTTGCGAAAGACCAGGGTTAGAATCCCAGCACCGACATGGCAGCTAACAACTGTCTGTAACTCTAGTTCCAGGGGATCCTGGGCCTCTTCTGTCCTCCGCGGGCATTGCACGACACGGGTGCACTTACCTACATGCAGGCAATACATGCATACACAGAAAATAAAATATTTTTTAAAAAAAATCAATCTTCTATTCTGTCCTTAGTCTCAGAAAAAGGCTCTATTCCAAACTTGCAGTTACTTTTATAACTACAAACAGATAAAGGCACACAAAGTTTGTTGCTGCCGTTTAACAGATGGACATTAAGAATACTGAGAACCAGATTTAGAGTTCAAGTTCTAAAAACCTTTATCTTACAGTTCAAAAAATACTGCAACATGCGGATCCTTAACAAGGACAAGAGTGACTTGACCAAGGCAGGTGGCAAGACTAATGCAGGCATCCAGGTCCTCTCCTCAGTTCTCAGGCTGCATTTCCAAAGGCAAGACTCAGGAGTGAGCGACCTAATATTCCAACCAGGAGTGAAAATAAAGTCCACTTTAGCGCGAATGATCGAACTGTCACTATTCCAGGCAAAAGGCGGACGACGCTGACCCCCTTGATCAGCTTGATCCTAGCAAATCTTGGGTAGAGATTCTGCCTGCTTTTTCCGACTTCGGAAAAGCGTTCCTTTACCACCTGCCGTCAGGAAGGGGAGAGAAAAGTGTCCAACTCGAAAAAGAAAAGCAAGTTGAGCGAGGGGTCGCGACAGCGCGAAGCGAGATAGTGGCGGAGCCAGCTCTGGAACCCAGGTCCCTGCTCTCCCGGCCCGAGCTTTCTCACCCCTAACCATACAGTGGGACGCCCAGGGGCCGGATCTCCGAGACCCAGCAGTCGCCGCCCCTCACTGGCGCTATCGCTCCCCAGGCTCCAGGGCGTTGAAGAACCTACGGATAAACCTGTAGTCCGGGGACACCGCTGCAGAGGGTGCTTCCCGGGCTTTATATTGGCTATGAGTACTTCCGGTGGCGCGCGAGGCCACCTGGGAAATGAAGTCCCGGCCCCGGGTCTGGCCCGCTGCTAGCGCACTAAGGCGTAAGTCCTCAGCGGGTTTCTTGCCCTATCCTGGGAACAGGGTCTGGAAGCGCTGCCTCGTCTCCCTCCCCACCATCCCCGGGAAGCGGAATAGCCCGGGTTAACAGGCTCTAGCTGTGGGCTTGGCTCTTGGGAAGTCGGCGCGGGGCGTGGCCGGGAGGACCTGAAGGAAAGCGAAGGCACAAACATGGCGGCCTGGAGCGATCAGAGGAATCCCGGGACGCATGCCCGAGCCGCGCCCGTCTTGTACTTCCGGAATTTAAAGCCAGCTTCCGGAAGCCCCAGGGTGTCCCCATGACAACCGACTTTGGCTCTTTGAGGTGAGAGTCGTTTGGAGAAGTGTGTTAGGTGGCCGGAACCTCGTTTTTTGTTGCTGTTGCCTCTGGGCTACAGCTCAGGCCGCCCGGTCTGTGCGCCGGCCGGAAGGGTCGGGACCACTGCTCCGCGCATGGCAGCAGTTGCGGGTTGCCGACTGCGCCCACCCCTGCTTTTTTTTGCCAATCCACGCTGCTCTAAAAGGAGGGCGAGCGAGGGCGTTTTTGCGTGACCGATCCTCCCTGCAGCCCTCGGTGGGGCGGCCAGTGGTGCGTTTGGCTCTGCGCATTTGCTACCTGGAGGGAAGGACTTGCACTCTTAGCTGTAGCCAGGTGATAATTCTTTCCTACGGTGCAGTGGTTACGAGGATTAAAGGAAATTCTCTTGGTCAACAAGATTATCTTGGTGCTGGTGCCTAAGGAACAGATTATTTATGAATGTGAAAACTCAAGCAGAGAAGCTAAGTTCATCCAGAAAAGTGGAATTTTTCCGCCAGGGGAGGTGGACAGGGTCAGAACCTCTGCAAAATGGGGATTATCTGCACAAAAATGGCCGTTCTTCAAGATAGTCCTTTTATTACGTAGTTATGAACATGCTCCCCTTGCTTAATGCTGCCGTATTGCTACCTTAATCTTTTCACGAGAGGACTGTGTCCTCAGCATTTTCTGTCTGTGACACTTCCACTTTTTAAAAAATATTTTAAATATTTTTATTTTATGTGTGTGTCATGCCTGCGTATATTAAGTGCACCCTTGTCGTGCAGTGCCCGCGGAGGACAGAAGAGGGCATCAGATTCCCTGGGGCTGGAGTTATGGAGTTGTTAGCTGCCATGTGGGTGCTGGGATTTGAACCCGGGTCTTCTGCAAGAGCAGACAGTGCTCTTAACCACTAAGCCATCTTTCCAACCCACCGCTTCCTATTTCTAATGTGAACATTTTCCTCACATAGTTTTATATCAGTCTTTCCGTTGTGAAAGAGTCAGCTTGTGCAGTGATTAACAGCAGGGTCTTTATCCCACACTGCCTGGATCAGAATCCTGGCACTGCCACTTACCAGATATGTAATATTGGACAATTTGTTTTAACTTTCAGGACCTCTGTTTCTCATTTGTAAAATGGGGAAATTCTCCCTCATGAGGTTATTATAGTTTAGATATCAGTGTTTTGAACCATCCCCAGCGCACACTGCAAGTTATATATGAGTTTGTTACTATTATTATTACTACTAATAGTTTTACTATATGACCAGGCTGTTACTCCTCTGTAGTACCGCATATATTCTAGGCTAGGGCGTGTTGTGGTGGTGCAATCCTGTAAAATAAGCACCCAGAAAGCTGAGGCAGGAGGATCATGAATTCAAGACCAGCTCGGGCTATATAGCAAAATCTGATTTAAAAAATCGGAAACAAGGAAAAGAGAAGAAAAGGCTGTGCATTTAGAAGGACCAGGCATGGAGAGACACTTGATATTAAGTCTCCAGAAGGTTGACCGATTGCAGTGGAGTGGAGTAAGGTGGGGTGGAATTGGGGTGGGGTGGGTTTGGTTTGGTTTGGTTCGGTTCGGTTCGGTCTTGTTTCGTTTGGGTCTTGCCATCCTAACACAGGCTGTCCTCAAACTCTTGACCCTCCTGCTTCAGCCTCCCAAGTACTGGGAATATAAATGTATGCCACTACACCTGGCTTTCCTTGGGATTGTTTGTTTGTTTGTCTTTTTTGATAGGTAAAAATTTTCAGGAGAACAAGTGGAGGATGAGGCACCAAGACAGATAAAACTCTCAGCGGGATAGAGCTTTATTTCACATGGGACATGTTTTCTTTGGGGAAGGAAAAATGTCAGCCCACGGATTGTGAGCTGGGGCTTATATGTGGGGGCTTCAGGGTGCAGAAGGCGGGAAGTGTTTTGGGAAAAATCAGGCGGGGAAAGCAGGAAAAACAGGGCTTGTAAACCTGGCTCTGTTCTGTCTGCCAGCCAGGATCTGGGTCAGGAAGTGTTTACTTTTTTTGTCCTCCTAAGATAAGGGAAAAGCTGCTGTACTGAAACAGCTCCTAAAATCTCTGGTTAGCAGGCAAAATCTGCTTTTCTTGTCTTCAGAGATCAGAGGAAAGGCAGGCTGCCTCTTAGAAGAATCTGCTTCCCTTGACTTCATAGGCCAAGGTTCCTTTTTCAGTTCCCTTTTTCAGGCTTGATTCCATGGGACCCTGTTGGGGAGGGGGGAGACTGCTGCTGTTTGAAACCCTAATATTTTTCAGACAGGGTCTCCCTGGAACTTGCTATGTAGACCAGGCCAACCTCAAACTCACAGAGATCCACCTCCACCTGCCTCTGCTTTCCAAGTGCTGGGATTAAAGGCATGCACCACCATGCCCAGCTGAGGCCTTTTTTAAAGATTTTTGTCTGTATGAGTGTTTTGCCTGCATGTATGTATGTGTACCTCGTGCTTGCCTGGTGTCCATGGAGGCAGAAGAGGACATCAGATCATCTGGAACCAGAGTTATGGACAGTTGTTAGTTGCCACGTGGGTGCTGGGTACTGATACTTGGTATTCTGTAAGAGCAGTCAGTGTTCTTAACTGCTGAGTCATCTCTCTAGTCCCTGGTCCTTTTTTCTTCACTAATGTATCCCAGTCACCTAGAATTACATTTGGCACACAGATGCTTAGTACATGTTTATTAATAGACTTAACCTTGCATCTCTTTGCTCCAGCAGGTCCTTGCCTTAAGTGCCAGGGAAACAGCTTGCCTCGCACCAAGGACTGGGTAGAGAACCAGAAGTTTTTTTCTCCAGAACTGTGGAATGTGCCTTTGGGAACCCCCAAAAGCAGAGGGAAGATGCTCCAGACCAGTAACTACAGCCTGGTGCTCTTCCTGCAATTCCTGCTGCTGTTCTATGATCTGTTTGTCAATTCCTTCTCCGAGCTACTCCGAATGGCTCCTGTCGTCCAGCTGGTACTCTTCATGTGAGTGCAGGAAATGCCTAAAAAGGTGAACCCAAGCAGTTTGAATGCCCTGATAGTCATTAGAATGTCATTAATAGATGGTCTGGGGATGTAGCTCAATGGTAGCTCTTGCTTAGCATGGGCTAGGCCCTGTGTCGATCCCCAGCAGTTCCCCCACCCCCATCCCCCATACACAGAGTGACAGAATGTCAGAACAGGAAAGCCTTATCTATGGACTACAATTCAATGAATCATTTTAGCTACTTGTCTAGAAGTCTCTGCTGTCTGGGAGTATGGGGTGACTATATCACAAGGAACCATGGACCTCATGGTGTCCCTTAGAACTTAGGGCCATCTCTTGGGTCTTCACACAGCCTCCATTTGGCTTTACTTTGCTTTATGTGTCTACAGCATACAGGATATTGCAATTCTCTTCAATATCATCATCATTTTCCTCATGTTCTTCAACACCTTCATCTTCCAGGCTGGCCTGGTCAACCTCCTATTCCGTAAGTTCAAAGGGACCATCATTCTGATAGCTGTGTACTTCGCCCTCAGCATCTCCCTTCATGTCTGGATAATGGTAAGGGTGAAGCTCTGAATTCTCACATCTCTAATTTTTCTTTAAATATATCTTATTTATTTGGGCTGTGTGTGTGTCTGTCTTGTCAGATGACAGTTTGTGGAAGTGTGTTCTTTCCACCATGTGAGTTCTGGGGATTAAACTCAGGCCATCAGGCCTGGCAAGCAAGCACCCCCAACCAATGAGAGCCATCTTGCTGGTCCTCTCACATCCATAAAGGGCTAGAAATAGGTGTAGTAGCTAACATCTGTAATCCCAGCACTCAGTAGGCCAAGGCAGGATTACCATGAGTTTCAAGGCCATCCTGAGCTGTACTTTGAGATGTTGTCTCAGAAAGAAAAAAAAAGCTAAATATGGTGGAACATACCTGTAACCCTAGCTCTTCAGAGGCTGTGGCAGGAGGATCACCATAAGTTCAAGCTCAGCCTGAGCTACATGTAATTTCAAGACAAGCCTCACTGAGCCACACTCCTAGTCCAAAATCTTGAGGTGGTAATGTGACTTATTAAAATGAGTGTATGATGTGCTAGAAAGATGGCTCAGTGGTTAAGAGCACCTGCTGCTCTTGTGGAGGACCTGGGTTCAGCTCCCAGCACTGACACTGGTCAGTTCACAACTCTCTGTAAGCCCATAACTCCAGTTCCGGAGGTTCCAATACCCTCTTGTGGTCTCCTAGGGCATTGGCATGCATATGGTGTACATATATACAGGTACTCACACAAACACAGAAAATAAAAAATAATGTTTTTTAAACATGAATATATGAGAGACACACAAGATACAACAAAGAGATGAAAGAGATGGAAGAATTGGTGAAACAGAAGTTCAAAGCCATGAGAACCAGATCTGACCTGGGGCCTGTGTGAGATAGATGGCTTTGTATTCAAGCTGTTTCTGATTAACCCTGGAGTACATCAAAGACTTAATATAGAAAAAAAAACAAACAAAAAACACCAAAAAGAAAGAAAATGGGTGGGAGCTGGGGGTGGGATACATACCTGGCAGGCTCAGTGCCCTAGGATTGATTCCCCAGATTGCCTAAAGAAAGAAAAAGAAGAAAATCCAAATAGGAGCACTTTGCCCTGGAGGTCCTGTCATTCTTTTACTTGGTTCAGAGTGCTTGATATAAGATGGGTTAGATGAGTATCCTGGTCTGGGGTTCTAGGCAGGTGACAGTTTCATAAGGCACTTTTTTCTCTGTTGAAAAACAACCATATTCAAGAACCTAGGGACTCTTCTGCATATAACAGTCTGTATATAATCTTTGCCCCAGACAGCAGGGCTAAACAGGAAGCTGAATGTTTCCTCATTGGCTATTTGGGCAGGTGGGTGTTGATAGAGGGTATGCTTAGGCATCAGTGTCCCATGGTTAGTGTTACAGGCATGAATGTTTCTGGGAAATAGCCAAGCAAGAACACTGCTTGCCTTCTTCTCTTCCCTGTGCCAAGACCCTGCCCTTACACTGCAGATCCAACCTCCAAGATGCTTCCCTTTCATTCACACATGGGCCCCAGATCAGATCCAGTTCTTGTGGTTTCAGATTGCTTCTTTATTATTTTTTAACTTTATTGTTGTATGTATTGTTGTATGTTGTATGTCCATGAGTGCAGGCACACGTGTCAGGGTGTACCCTGGAGGTCAGAGGTAACTTTGCGCTGTTGGGCTTTGGGGAGGGGTCATCAGGCTTGCCGGGCCTTGCTGGTCATCATGGATTCCTTCTGTTTTACAAATTCTTTCATCTCTTTGGGTAGCTTATGTGTTTCATATGCTCATTTTGATGGATCACAAAACTTCGGGGTTCTGGGCTAGGGTATGGCTCAAGGATAGATCCCTTGCCTAGCATGTGGGAGGCCCCAGCCTTGATCTGCACATGGCACCACAAACAAAACGAAGCAGAACATTTGTCTCTAGTCTCTTTTTACTTCTCCCTGGACCCTCTCTGTGGATGCCACTGGGGTGCCACAGGGAAGCAGAGCTCACAAAAAGCAGCAAAGCAGTGCACAAGTGTCAAGGTGCTTCCTGTAGCCAAGTTTGCTTTGCTTCTGGGAGGCAGAGTGCCCTGGCCATACCCAGGCTGTTGATCTGATGAAGACCTGAGCCCGGGTGCACCAAAGCCTTGGCATGCCAGGAGAGTGACCAGCCGAACTCCTGAGATGATAAGTCTTTTCTCCTTGGCAGAGACAATGGCATGGAAGGGGATAAATGATTCAGGGTGAGAGGAGATTCCCTTTGGAACAAAAAGGGAGTTTGAGGACTGGCAAGATGGGTGGCTCAGCAGGTGAAGGCACTTGTCACCAAGCCTGACAACCTGAGTTTGATCCCTAGGTACAACATGGTAGAAAGACAAAACTGACTCGCTAAAGTTGTCCTTGGGTTGGGGATTTAGCTCAGTGGTAGAGCACTTGCCTAGCAAGTGCAAGGCCCTGGGTTCAGGCCTCAGCTCTGGAAAAAAAAAAAAAAAAAAGACAAAATAAAGTTGTCCTCTACCTCTGCATATACACCATAGCACATTGGTGTGCATGCATGCCCACACACAAATATACTTTTAAGTTTTCCTTAATCTTTAAAATTTCCTGTGAGTGTTACCTACATGTATATATACCATTCTGTTCTTGGTACCCTTGGAGGCCAAAAGAGAACATCAAATCTCCTGAAATTAGAGTTATAGATGGTTGTAAGCTGACATGTGGGTGTTGGTTGCTGAACCCAGATCTTTCGCAAGAGCAGCAAGTACTCTTAACTGCTGAGCCATCTCTCTAACCACTTAAAAATTGTTTTAAAAAGGGGGAGCTTGAGGCTTTCTTGAGAAATTACCTTCTTGGACTTAAAATAACCAAGTGATGTTAGCATGATTTTCAGTGGCTTTGATACAGCTGATCAAATCAGGGATGAAAGAGCCTCATGCAGCCCTTAACCTTTCTTTTTCTGTTGTGTCTGCTTTAGAACTTACGCTGGAAAAATTCCAACAGCTTTGTTTGGACAGATGGACTTCAAACACTATTTGTATTCCAGAGACTAGGTAAGAGCCATAGCAACTTGAGGTTCATTCGGATCCTTGATGTGTTTCTGACAGCAAGGGCCTTGAAACTGGCTTCTCAGTCCCATCACCACTGGCCTGGGGCGGTGGGGATAGCCACACAGAGTACAAGAGGGAGGACTGCTGGAAACCCTGGGGCAAGCCTCGAGTTGGCTAGGTTTGTTTTTCGGCCTGAAGGGAACACTGAAGACCATCCCTGAGCTACCTATTCTGCTTTCCCCAGTGGCTGTGCTATACTGCTACTTCTACAAACGGACGGCTATGAGACTGGGCGACCCCCGCTTGTACCAGGACTCTCTATGGCTGCGCAAGGAGTTCATGCAAGTCCGAAGGTGACCACTTCTTAACATACTGATGGATGCCTTTCTGTCCTGGTGGAAGCTGCGTGCTCTCCAGGAAGGGAGGCCCTTGGCACCGGGAAACAGATGGACTTCCTAGGATAGGCTCAGGCCAGCTGTGTTCAGCATTCAAGAAGGAAGACCTACTAGGTATAGTAGGTCACAACTATAATCCCAACACTTGGAGATCTGAGGCAGGAGGATTGTCATGAGTTTGTGGCCAGACTGGGCCTACCTGGTGAGTTCCAGGACAGCATGCAAAGTGACATCCACAGATTCTGGTACAGAATGCCTCCTGGCCTACCTCAGTCTGCCACCTCCCTTCCCTTCCTGCTCTGTGCCACTCACTTCCTCTGACCCCTCCTCCTTGGATTCTGGGGCTCAGGAGCACTCATCTCTTGAAGCTTTTGGTTCAGCCTGGAGTAGTGACCTCACAGCCATCACACCTGAGTGACTGTAGGACAGAGTGAAAGGCATGTCCTCCTGACTCACTTAGATGTTGAGATTTTTTTTTTTTTTTTTTTTTTTTTTTTTTTTGGTCTTTTTGAAACAGGGTCTCCCTGTAGCCCCAGCTGTCCTGGAACTCACTGTGTAGACCAGGCTGGCCTTGAACTCACAGAGATCCACCTGCCTCTGCCTCCCAAGTGCTGGGATTAAAGGTGTGCACCACCACGCCTGGCTAATGTTGAGATTTTTATACCCAAGGTACTTGTTTACATTCCTAAGTAGGAAATAAATGGAATTCTTTTTTCATAAATGGTAGAATCTTGTCTATGTGTCTTCCTGGTGAAGAGGTGTGCAGCCAAGTCAGAGCCTCAGCATCTACTTGACCCAGGACAGATCACACCACAGACTAGATGCAGGTACGCATTATGCCCTGTTAACAGCCGAAATACTGCTGGGTATTGTGACTCATACCTGTAACCCCCGCACTCAGGAGGCTGAGGCAGGAGGAGTACCATGAGTTCAAGGCCTGCCTGGGTTATATTGTGAGTTCTAGGCCACCCTGGGATACAGTGTGAAAACTGTCTCAGAAAAACAAAAGAATCATGGTACTTGTGCTGAAAATCAAAGTATGATCTGAATTCCAGCCCCTACCCCTGGGGTCCAGATTTCTGTGCTTCCTTCAGATTTTTTCCCTACTAGAAGCTCAAATTGCCCTTGGGAGAAAAAGTGCTTCAGAGCCTGTTTTGGCAAAGAAAATTTTTAGAATTTTCTAAATTCTAATTTAGAATGCTGCTTTCTGTTGCTAGAGGAATATGTAACAACCCCCACCCCACACAGTAGCATACAGCCAAAAGCAATTGGCTTCTACATCCTGAGGTTCAGCTGATCTGGGCTGGTCCAGGTGATTGCAGCTGGACCTGCTCATGTCTGTCTGTGGTCAGTCATGGGTGGGCTGGGCAGGCTACATGCTCTTGGAATCCTTTAACTATTGGCTAACCTAAGATGACCTCAGGCAGAATAACAATTTACTCTGTTCTGGGTCATATGACCTATGTGGCAGCAGACTACCTCAGGTCTGTGCACAAGATAGTGAAGAGGAACAGGAGAGCACAGGTTCTATTGCATTTCAACCCTCTGCTTAAGTTCCCATTGGTCAAAGCAAGTCACGTGACGAGTGCAAGGTCAAAGTGGGAATCAGCACAAAGTTTCAAGGAAAAAGGTTTAGAAAGGACTGGAAGTGTACCTCAGTGCTAGAGGTTGTGCTTAGCATCCTCAAGGCCCTGGGTTCAAACCCTAGCACCAACAGAGACAGACTGAATCAAGTCAGAACACACCTCAGAGCTGCTCTGTGAATAGTCAGAGTGCTGAAGCACAGGGGATAGCAGACTGAATCCAGGGAGAAATACCTACTGGACTATGACATTGGAGCATGAACTCAGCCATAGAAGATACAGCACTTGAACTGATACAGCTCTGTACCAGTAAAAACTAGCTTGTGCACCAAATTAAGTTTTTATTTGCATATGCCACAAAACATTTTTTTTCTTTTTTTAAAAATTTTTTACAAAAACTTCATTGAGAATTTCATACATGCATATAAGATGTTTTGATCAAATCCATGCCCATTCCCTCCTCTCCAACATTCCCCCCTCTGAAGAGGTAGCCCTAAAATCTTTTAAGCATTAGT